GCTGCTGGTACCGTCGTAGCTACCTCTGCAAAAGCTCCTTCCAAGTTTAGATCCTTAACATCATTGAGTTTTTTGGCTACTCTTTTGCTAAATCTCTGGCTAGACATGTAATTCTTGGAAAAACAGCCTCCCATACATAATTTCTTGATTTCTTGAGGACTATCTGCAATCAGTTGATCAACTTCGTTTATTATAGCCTCTGTCCTTGAAAGCCATCCTTCAACTTGGTCTAGCCGCTTCATATTTGCTTCTTCGGCGAGGTTGACCTTTCTCATCACATCATTCCTTAGCTCCTTTAATTTTTTCAGTGCTGTGCTCAAGTCAGCAAGGTTTTCTTCAAGCTTGCATGTGTAGATAGCTTGTCCAGCAGCACAATCCCAGCAGCGGGAAAATATGGTATCACAGGACAATTGAATTGAGAATATGTTACCCATAGAGGAAAAACAAGAACAAATGTAGTTATCAGTAGAGAAGAAGAATGGGCGTTTAAAGAGAGGGAGAAAGAACAATATGAGAAGCAGCGGTTTTATTCTTACTTGTCTAGCGAGATAGATCTAGAACAGGATGGGTTGGCCCTCAAGGGAGGAGACTTTGCTTTTTCTTGATGTAAATACTAATTTATCAATTAATTTAAAATCGAAAATATTTTATTATTTTTATTGTGTAGAGCAATGAATTTAAAATATTAAATAAATTTATAAGGGTTTTATTTTTTCACCTTAGTAATTGATCCCTGATTCCCGGCCCGTAACTCAAGGTTCCGATTGCTACAACCCAAAGTTTTCAATTGTTTTGGATTTTTATTTAAATTTCCTCTTACCAGTTTTCTTATTTATTATATTATTTATTTTAATGTTTACAATAAATAAATTGATAATTGACAATTGGTGTGGAAGGCTTGGATGCAATTGGACTTTTTAATAATATATTCCTTTCCTTGAAAGGATGGTACAACTGCAACTAACTCTAAAGAATCTTAGGGAGACAACTAGGCACCAGCAATCGAGCAAAAGTGGGGTTCGACAACAATCATTTGAATCCTTTATAGTTATTTATTTTCATTTCTCGTTAAATTTTGTTCTTATTTCTTAATTCGAAAATTTCAATTCAATCAAATGGCCTAATAATACGTGTCTCATCTTTATTTTATTTTAAGTTTTGATTTTTCTATTCGATTTTTATTAATATTAGTAAATTTTTAAAATACGAATATTGTCCAATCTTTTTTATCTTTTTTTTAATGTGATAATCTTAATATTATTTAATTTATTCAAAATAAAGTATTTCATAAACTCATAAATATATTGAAATTGATTGTTATTTTATGCATCATCATATGATAGATGATGATGGACCTGTAGTTGGAGTTGGTTAGTTAGTGGTGCGACAGACTCTGCTGCATCAGATCGCTTTGGTTAGTTAGATGCGCTGCTTTGTTAACAAGAGCTGAAGGATGAGATTTCTCCATTATACTCTTTTCTTCTAGCTTTAAACCCAATAATTCTGCAAGTTAAAGCCTCCATACCACCAAATCAAACATCTTAACCTCCTCGACTTGTAACTTGTTTGACTTTAAAAGCAAAATAAAAAAGATATCATAATATTTTAACGTAAATAAGTAATTTAAGAGAGAAAAAATAAAATTTGTATACTTTATTCATGTTAACAATAAATTTTTAAAAAATAAATAAAATTTTCTTAGAATTTGATGGTAACATATAACATCGAAAAATTAACTTCATATTGAAATAATTGAAACCTGGATTTTAATAAGCAAAATTCAATTAGTGTGGCACACAGTTGAAAAATAAGGAGAATGTTTAATTTTTTTGACTGTCAACTGGTCTTCTCTCTCTTCCTTTTTTTTTTTTTTTTTCAGATTTTGCATTTATGGGGTTTTTTTATACTAAAACATGTTGAGTTAATCATATTGGTATAAAAAATATAATGGTAGAGATTTAAACAGATGAATTTGAAAATGATTAATTTGTAATTAGTAGATAATGTAGACTGTTTTTTTCATCTAACTTTTTATATGAAGCTTTAATCAAAAATCATACTAATATTTTTGTTTTTGGAAAAACATAAGGAAACTCATTCCAGGAATGAAAGGAAATGCCAAGGTCAATGCAACTTGAAGACCCTGTCATCATAACAAGATAGAAATAAAGTCTCATGAAAACAAGTAAAAAGTAAGCGCTCTTGGCATGATATGGAAGCCCCCATCCTTACTTATGGTTAATCTTCACTGTATAATAATATTACCTTTAAAAATATTCAAAGTAATTGACTTAAATATTTTTATTCATTTCTTAAATTAAAAAATTTGTTTATCACTTATTTCTATTAAACTCCTATTGGCATGTAACATGTTGATCTTAGATGCATTACAATTGGCAATCATGGAAAAATAGAGGGCAAAGGTTTATGGCATAATTTTAAATATTTTAGAAATTAATTCTTTGTAGTCCAAAGTTTTCAATTAAGACAATCATTTATCAACAATTCAAATAAAATGTTTTGTTTTTACTGGTATTTATCAAGGCCTTTAATTAAGTTAATCACTTATCAATAATTCAACTAGCACGTTTTGTCTTTGTTGATTTAATCAGCTTTTTTCTCTCTCTCTCTCTCTTAATTTCTTTTTTTTTTTTGTATATATAAACTAATACATCATTATTCAGCTACCCTTGTTTATAACTACTGTATTACAATTATTAAATTGCAATTAAGAATTATGTAGCATTTATTAAATTATTTTATAGATTTTTTTTAAAAGTATTCATTGTTAAAATGAAACAGGGCAATCCCATTACAAAAATGAGTCAATAATTAACATGATATGAACCAGTATATTAGGGATATGGGATAGACTAAGAAAAACCAAACCATTGATAAAGGAGTGGCACAGACAAGTTTTAGGAGACCCCAGATGAGGTTAGATGCACTTCAAAGGGACATTGAGAGAGCAAAAATGGAAATTTGAAAAAGGGATAGGGATCCAAAATGGAGAGAATTGGTAATGACAAATAGAAGTGAAATGTGAAAAATTCTTAAGGAGGGGGAAAGGGAATAGCACCAAAAGTTAAGGGTGATATGGGTGTTTGAAAGGGATAAGAATACAAAATTTTTCCATGTCGTGGCACCGGTCAGAAGGTGATCCAACACCATTTCTCAAGTTAAGGCAAATGATCAAGTCCTAGTGGAACCAAAAGAAATCCAAGACGGAAAAATTGAGTATTTTGAGAGGGTGTACAAAGAGACAAATGTTGCAAATCTTAAAGAGTTACATTGTAGCTTTAGAACATTTAGTAGGGAAGTGGCAAAAGGGATTGACAAGGAATTTGCTAAAATGGAAGTGTGGAAGGTTGTGTAAGAGTTTGATGGGAACAAAGCTCCAGGGCCAGATGGTTTTGACATGAATTTTTTTAAGAGTTAATGGAGTCTAATTAAGAGCAAAGTTATGAAATTCAATGGTGAGTTCCATGGGAATAATAGGATGGAGGGGGTTCATGAATGCCTCTTTCATCACTCTTGTTTCGAAATGTAGCTCATCAACGACAATTAAGGACTATCATCCAATTAGCTTGGTTATAATTCTATTATATAGAGTTATTTTGACATATTTTGGAGGCTTAAGTAGTTAGATCTTTGAGATTTTAAGTTCAAATTTTAGCATTTTAGGTGTATTTGTAGTTTATGTTTGATTACTTGTTAAGTGATTAATTTAAGTTATTTTAGTTAAATTTTATGTTGTTTTATTTTAAATTACTTTAAAAGTAGTTATTCCTAATTTCTCTTATGGCTTTTATAAGAAATTGATGAAAATGGCTCATTTGATTAAATCAGTACAAGTATGGTGATGACTTTATTAGTATATGTTTTGGTATTTTGACCATATCTCTTTCTAAAAAACTCCAAATAAAGTGATTCTTAGACCAATAGAATTATAAGAAGAAGGATATAACGTTTATGTTACAAATTTTCCCAGTTCTAATTGGATCATGGTCAAAATATTTGTCAAAGTTGGAGCACTGCAGCAGTATGTAAGGACTAAACATGATGCGTTATTTGGAGCATATCTTTCAATCCAGAAGTCCAATTGATGTGATTCTTAATCCATTGGAAAGTTAAGAGATAAGGATAAAATTTTATGTTTTTCACACTACCCAGTTCGGAACATATCAGGGTGAAACTCATATTTGAAATTGATAGACTGCCACAGTGCTGGGGGAACAAGGCTGCAGCGTTGATGAAAGGAAGCACACAT